CTGTTTGTAGCAATGAGCAATAGTTTAATCGATACCCCTTTCTCATGTACTTTGCCTTCAGTGGCTTGATTGTCAGAACTTTTACTTTCATTCGGTTCGCTCTAATTAGTTTTGCTTGTCTTTTTGCCTTCTACGACAAAAATTGGCACTGCCGTTCCCAGTTCATGCTTTTACGAGGAGTTCTGGTTTTCACTGAGCCATGAAAGCAACGTTTCGGCTCAGCTACAATTTCTGCTTGACAGTTGTTTTGTTCTCATCTTTGAAAGGAGCGTCCGGTACCTAGCAGACACAGCGGAAAATTAGGCTTGTTTTTATTGTCGCTACAGCTCATAGCGATTGGAACAAACACTTTTGTGCTTTTCGAATGAACATTTTTCTGTATTTGTGCTTCAATGCCAGCAGCACGCAACCTTTCATGACCCTCCGTTTTGTTTTTTTTTAAACAATTTTTAAAATTTAGAAGACTGGTGGTTTTTTTTGCCAGTAATACCTAACGGTATAATTTGAAAAATCTTGATTTAGTTTGAAAGGAAGTTTGCTGACAGCTAAGCGTAGAATAGTCACATTTTTCGGTTGTCAAGAAATAACAACTGTTCAAAAATTGGGAGACAATTTTTTTTATAACACGGCTTGTTTATGAAAATGGAACGGTCGTTTCACAAGACTGTTTTTTCATCTACAGCGGTTAGAAGACCGTTTTTCATCAATTCATCTATTTATTGAAAAAAAGACCATTTTACCAGATGTTTATACGATGAACAGAAAACTAGGTTAGAAAACCCTTGATCAGCAGCATTCGTGCTTTGAAGATCAGAATGATGAGTTCAAACGAAAGGACCAATTGGGGTTAGTGAAGAAAACACTTCAAAATTGGTGTTCTGAAGTGTAGTTACTGGTGTTCGCGAGGTCATACCACATGTTGAGCTGCTCGAATGAACTTCCACGGGTTTTTGATTAGCAGCAAAGGACGCTGCACATAAAAGCTGCTAATTATGAGCCCTGTAGTTGTGGAAACTTGCTCTTGACAATTGATGGGTTATCGGATATCGGATGATTACAAGAAACCTGCGTTACAGCAGTTGCAACACTTTGCGGAATTGAGTGAACTAAGGGAAAAAGATTCATTAGACACCTTTTTTTTTCTAATTTTGGTCCAAAAATTGAATTTGGTTGGAGAAAACCAGCTCGAGGGTCAATGGACAGTTTTGATTGGCAGTACTTGCCTGAGGTGCTACACAATGTCCAACAGTAACAGATGCATCAGTTGTATGGCAGGTATGCGAGGCCGGGGCTTCCATAAAACTCAAAAGTTGATCGCTGTGGATTTCTTTGGCCCAAGTCAGTCTATCCACAGTTTTTTGTTATCAAGTTGAAGGCTGCCTCTGTTAAACTGGTTATAAATAACTTTTCACTGACGGCAGATAGGTCATCTTTGAGCTGCAATCCTTCAAACTCGATGTATTTTAGCTTCTGTTCATGTTCGAGAGCTAAGACTTTTACATCTAACTCTTTTTCGTTTTTAAAACTACGCTAGCTTGCTTAGCGAGTTCTCCTTGACCCAATTTAATCAAGGCGAGATAAAATTTTATCTCAATAGAGAGAGATTACTTTTACTGCCAAAATTCTATTTGTTGGTCGCGCTCTCCGATTTTTTCAGGCAATACGTTAATTTCTTGTTTCTTTAAGAAGTCCCTAACAATATAACAAAAAATTTTCTTGCTTAAACAATGTCTTTTTGTCATTGAACGGCTTTTGTTGTTTTGAAGCTTATTTTTTGAATCATTTTTTTACGCCAAAAAATTACTTGGTTTTTTTTTCCTGCAGGTTTTCATATTTTTTATTTGTTCGAAAATACTTATTCAACTACAAACAAAAATTTGAAAACATACTTGTTTTTTTATGAGACATCAACAATCAGAGAATAATTCCGTAATCACTTTGACGTTAATATGCAGGGATAAATCCCTGTCAACCTAGTGCCTCCGTTTAAGCCTAATTTAATTGGCCGAAAGATTTTCAAGTGATAAATGTTTCTCTTTTTTACGGGTTTTGACGGTGCTAAGACTAGCACTGCAACACCGCAGCAAAAGAAGAGTCTTTAGCTTCTTGTACAATTCAATGAGTACCTGATTCTCAGCCTTACGCTTAAATTGAAAACTCGGACAACGTTAAATACGAAAATACCTAACCCAAATTAATTCCTTTTTTTCTTAGTACTGCTTTGTTGCCATTAATTGATAACCCAACAAAATCTCTGCGGATCCAGGCATTTTGGGCATCTAAAACAGCGGAAGCACTTAATTTCACTTGGAAACGAATGCCGAGCATGACATAAGCCTTATAAACTTCTAAGCTTCTTATTCTTTCGTTCTTTTTCTTTCATTGTCTGCTAACCCGAATCGTCGATTTATAACTGGCGACTATTCGCATCAGGCGACAATTGGTAACAAACGACAATTCGGAACAGTCATTTAAGCAGCAAACACTAATTTATGCGCAATATTTCTCTCGTGCCCGATGCAAGCGCAGCGGAGCAAGCATATTATAATTACCAATACCTTGTTACGAGTTGTCAATTGTTGCGATTTGTCGTATGTTACTAATGGTCGCTTGTTACAAATTTTCGCCCTAACGTTTACTTATATAAAATAATTTACAAGATAAAGCTTCTATTTGATAAATGCGTATAAATAATAACAGCGGGAATGAGCATACTGCAGAAACTGAGATGGAATAGTGTGCAGACCAAAAAATCAAAAGTTGTCTCAATCATCATACAGATAATACAGAGGCGGAGCGGAGCTTCGCACTGCTTGCGATTCAAAAAATAAGTAAAACAAAACGTTGAAAAAATTAGCGAACAAAGTTTCCCTATGTCTCGATAAAAGACAGCTAAGGTACGTATATAAAATTTTTCGAAATTTTTAAATTAATGCGGGAAAACTGCGTATTTTAAAAAATTGAACTTTGCTCAAAACCTTAGTTTCTCTCCTAAATTAGGTAAGAAGAGTGACAATTTTTGAGATGTTAGATTTTTTCCAAGGACAAAACATTTGTCCTACAAAAAAACTAAGGAGTTGTCGCTTCTGCAGGTGAAAAATCTTGCATAGGTTTTTTCGATTGAACTTTTCGTCTCAGTTTTGATAAGATAATTTGAACGAAAATCAAAAAATCTAAAAAACGGTCAAAAGTTCAAACACTTGACTGTCCGAAATCCATATTTTTTTTCTGCAAAAAGCAGGTCGTAGCTCTAGGCCAGTGCCAAGAAATTTGCAAGGTGCCATGATTGAATGTCAAAGCAAGTTGAAAATGTGTAAGAAAAGTTGTTAACCGGGAGGCATTCTAGTTCCCGATTACAAGGCACTGAGTGTAAAAATTTATCCATTTAGTTCAAGAGAGTTGAAAAAATTGTCAACAAATAAAAAAAATAACTTTTCCGCGAATCAAATCTTTTTTGCTTAAAATATACCCAGAGATTCACGCAACCTGGAAGTTTAATTTAACCCAAAAACTCAGACATGGTAGAGTAGTTTTTGAGAAAAAAAAACAAAAGTTTCAAAAAACGAAAAAAAAAAATTTTACCTTTCAGAGTGTCATAAATTTTTGTCTAAAAAAAATTGGGGGTAATTGCATGTGCAAAAAAGTTTCCCACAAATCGTTCTATGAATATGAACCAAAAATTTTAGACGTGAGAGGACAGTTTTCGAGAAAAATCAAAACGTTCAAAAAACGGTCCATGATTCAAAAGTTTGACTATACTGAGAGCCATATTTCAATGTGAAAACAAACTGAGATAAATCTCGGTTTTGGGAGGATATTTCGGTAAAACGAAAAACTGTAAACATGGGTGAAAAATTCCCCCTACAGACTTTTTCGAAGGCTATAGACTGAGTGGTAAAGCAAAAAGAAACTAGGAGACTGTGCAGGCACATGGGGAAAGAGGCGGTCTTTCCTTTGATGCATCTTTTCTAATTTTTGGTACAATAGTTTTGAGAAAAACTAATTTTGTTTTGCAAAAAGTGAATAAACTGTTCAAAGCGTTTCATAAAATATAATAAAAGAACCCAATCTCACACATTTTCATAATACCAGTTTTCATCAAACAAGAATTCTAGGCAAACAGGCCAAGCAAGACATTTGAATTTTTAATTAGCACAGAACATAGCCTACGAGGCAGAAAAAAAACCGGTAAAATTGGAGCAGACACCATCTGAGCCGATAAAAGCCGATTTTTTAAAACTTTAAAAAGATTGATACTACAATGAGTAACAATTGCAACGACCATGATACTTGATTACAGCTCAAGAAAAATCCGTGATGTGGCAGCTAAGTCGACAAAACTTGAGCAGATAAACGAAATTCCGATTATTCAATTTTTACCGAAGAAAAAGTCCGGCCGAAATTCGAACTCCGGACTTTATAGTGCAAAAACGACAGCGTTATCTCTAGCCAAGTGCCAAGATTCAAGAAAGTTGAAATTGTGTAAGAAAAGTTGTTTATGGGAAAACTTTCTAGTTCCCGATTACAAGGCATTGAGTGTTTAAAGTTATCCATTAGTTCAAGAGAGTCCACAAAATGCAATGGCTGAAAAATGGCAAATTAAAACATAATAACTCATCCCCGCGCCCCCACTATAAAACTTCCCCACATGCCATTGCTAACTATTCAGTATTTTTTCAGTTTCATTATCAAAAATGAGAGTTTTGGGAAACCATCTTCATTTTCAACGGAGTAATTCTAGATAAATCTGCTCAAAAAAACTGTCATTTTTTTACATGCTTTTTATTAAAATACAATGTTTTGCCAAGTTCAATAATGAACTAAAAGTGTATCCAACATTTTTTCTTTTCTAATATAGATTATTAACTTCTGAGTTTGATCACGGCAAAAAACGTATAACCATCATCATCGCAAAAATTACAGCCAAGCATTTAGCTTGTAAATATTCACGTCATTTTCATTTATACAAAACTCGGCCTTTAATTGTCAAGTTCAAGCGTACTGAGTCATTTTACTTGATACGTTTTAGTTTAGACTGTTGCTAAGATTTTAATTAACAGACGGTACGTGAACAAGTTAAGGCAGATCCGTTCGAATCGATGTTCGAAAACCTTTTTCACTTATTAAATTTTACTCAAAAAACCAATCGTCATAACTCATTGTTATTAATCCAGAGATTTCAGAATTCTAATTATCAGCTTTGTTAAAATAGTAAATCAAAAAATAATAAATCCAAATTTGAAACTTGTTGCTAACCGAAGTTTATAGCTAGCCGAATTTCCTTTTCTGAAGGGTAACCGTACGCAGTTTAAACACGTGAACAAATATAACCACTGAACCATATTTTGCATTGATTGTCGTGAAGTGAAATCTCAAAAACTAATCCAAAGTTCAAAACCAAGAATTAAATCACATTTATATGATCATAACGAACAGCTGGATTTATTTGACATTTGTTGCGAAAGTTTGAACTTCTAGATCTGGTTGAAAAAAAGTATGGGTTATTATCGAAAACATGCTCTTGAAGGAATATTGCACGCTTCACATGAGCTTGCGGACCCAAGACTGTGGCGAGCTGTTTTTGCCGAGTTCTTCGGAACCTTTGTCATGGTTTTCGTCGGGTTGTCCAACATCGTCGGCAGCGAATTCGACGCTGGAGTCGGATCCGAGATTGACAATTTGGTCACACCTGGACTGACGTTTGCGGCCATCATCATGACTCTGATTCATATCATCGGACCCACTTCCGGGTGTCACATCAACCCAGCTGTGACCATTTCAATGACGGTGGTGAGAAGGTGTCACGTACTTAAAGCCGTTTGCTACATTCCCGCGCAGCTCCTAGGCAAGTTCAAAATATAGTTTAGAAAAATCTGGAAAAATGGGTCTGCAAATTAACCACGAAAAAAATGATATTAGAAAAAACTAATAAAATCAACAATTGGGATATTTGTGACAGCGATAGAAGATTTATAGCTCCATTCGTCGGTTTGATCATCAAAACTTGCAAAATCTAAATAAAAAATTGACGCATGGCAATTGACAAATATATAGTAAACAACTCTACGAAATCTACAACGAGTAGTTTAATTTCTGAAAGTTAACATTTGATTGTTCTGCATGTTTTTGATCCATTATGTTGATCCATAGATTTTAAAAACTTAGCGGTGAATTCAACGGTTCTTATTGGTTGCAGGCGCGTCTGCTGGAGCAGGTCTGCTGTACTGGATTGCGCCCCAGGAATGGATAGATGCGACCCATTTGGGCATGAACAGATTGAGACCCGAGCTGAACATGGGCCAGGGTGTAGTGGTGGAGATAGTTGGAACCATGATTCTCGTGTTGCTAGTCCTGGTCATCTCTGACCCTGATCCAAAGAAGGACTTCGAGGTTAATTAGTTCTAAACAATATTAAAACAATTAAAACAATCAGATCTCCTTATCTATTCCCCATGGCATCTAGTAACTAATTGCCACCCCCTATAAAAAACCAATTCAACGGTTAGTTTTGTACTTACCAAGAGAGTGGCCATCGTTAAAAAGATCCAAACAATTTATTCAATTGAAAAAGGATCAAAATACGAGGTGTTCAGATCTTTACGGAGAACACAATCACCCCGTTGTGTCTTTCGATTTGAATTTACATGCTTGTTTTTTTGGTTATTTTTGGCTGTGATATTATTTTACCTCATCGTCAAGCACGGATTTTAGTAAGCAATTCAAATTCTTTACATAGGCTAAATAAAAAAGGACAAAAACGGAAAAATAACATCAAGTTTTTTATTCGGGTTTCTTAAAATGTCTAACTCGATTAAAAAATTAGGAATGAATATTTTCAAATGGGAAGATTTTAAAAATTACCTGTGTAATGATTTGAATCAGGAAAATTGAGCAACGATCAAAAGTGCGACAAATTTTTCACATATGACTTGCCCAATTTTCAAGAAAGATGGACAATGTCAACAAAAAAGTATTGAAAACTGTAGAAGAGCCTAAATGTACACAAGTTGGTAATAATATATATTTTTGAAAATGTGATCCTTCAGGGCTTTCCTTCGACTGCCGCCGGATTCATGGTCCTTGCCTGTGTCTTCTTCATGGCCCCTTACACCGGATGCAGTTTGAACCCCGCCCGCTCTTTCGGACCGGCCTTGGTCATGCGCGACTTCGCCAACTACCACTGGATTTACTGGGTGGGGCCGATCGGAGGGGGACTTGTTGCCGTTGTTGTCTACTATGGCGCTCTCGTTCAGGGATTGCACAAGTTTGACGACCCAATCGAAGCGGAAGATTCGTCTGTGGTGAAGGAGAAGAACTCACAAGAGATGTCGCAGAATCCACCCCAAGAGGAGTCATCATTCGCTAAAAACGCCGTGGTTCCGAGTTAAAATTCACACGTGTGTGAAGCGGACCCGACACGATTGGACAAAAGTCGAAAAGAAGATCTATATTGTTCCGAAAATTGTTTATACTAGTGTAAGTGATCTGTACAAAAACGGATGTAGCAAAAAGTATTATGAAAACACGTGGTTTCAATATCGAAAAATCTATATGGTCTATAGCTGCATTGAGAGTTTTCACAAAACCAGACTTTTTGTTTCATTCAGTTTCTGATGCTGCGTCGCTGATATAATAATAATAATAATGAATTCAGAGTTTAAACAAAGTATAAACTCTAGAGGGGTAAGCCCGAAAGATAATTACAAATGTATCTGTTTACAGATGCATCGCTCGCAGTCGCACATGAGGCGCCAAGAGCATGCATCAAGTTCGTTGTAGTTGTTCAGGAAGTGCGACCAGTGAAGATTTGTAAGTCATTGTTTCAGGCCCGATGAAAAGAAATCGACTACGTGATTGAGTTTATTCACAAGTTTTGTAGCGATGTACCAAAAGTTTTTTCTACACTTCGCTTTATTTGTACTTCTTGTTTGGATGATATCACGAGTTGAGACCCTAGTACCGGTAAAGTTGGTGAAGAATATATATTGTGACCAATCATAGTCGTATTTATCGGTGATGATGTCAGAAAACAAAAGTAGACTGTGCATTTCCATATAAAGAGATAATGGTAGCAGCTCTAGGAGATGAAGTTTTTCTTTGTAGCTCAGGTGTGTTGGGTAGTTGAGGATCCAGGAGGTTGATATCCTTTGCACTGATTCAATAACTCTGAGGTCTCCATTGAAGTACAAACACTGGGAGCCATAGGTCAATATTGGTACAATGTATCCACAATATAAAGCAGCTTTGAGTTATTGGGTGATGTACGGCGAAGAGTTTCTTTTAATCATGTAGAAAGCTTTGATCGCTTTTTCACAGCGAGTTTTAGCGTGCGCTTTCCAACCAAGCGTACTCGACATAATAATTCCCAAGTCTTTATGTTCATCCGTGACATCCACTGTATCATGGTTCATAAGAATATTGTATCTACTTTTCAGGCACAGCACTTTGCATTTCCCACTGTTGATTCGCATTTTATTCTCTTCGCACCACTGCATAAGTGTATTGGCATCTAGTTGTAAGCTTGCGGGATCGCGGGATACAAATTTGTAATCATCAGCAAAACCGAACGGAGCAGAGTGGATGCCGTCCGGAGCACATTTAGGGGGTGGGGGTGTTGGCGCGGACACCCTCCCCCGTCTCAGGGATTCGACCACCTCACCAACCAAAGAGTGCCCTCCTAGAAAAATTTCTAAAGGCGCCTTTGATGCCAATTTATTTTAATTTAGAAGGGTAGCGCAAACCAGAACAAAACACATTTTTTTGTCACATTTTTCTTCAAAATTTGCCCAAAAATGGGCTTTTTTGACCTGTTTTTCAAAAACTTGCGGTATAAGGTCGACAAAATTTTCGATTTTAAAAAAAAATCTGCCTAGCCTTAAGATAATCTTATATCCGCCCAAAGCTTTTTCGGAGTTTTTGAAGATAGATCTCCGCAAGTTTTAAAATGTATACATTTTAATCCTTTATTTTTATATCATGTGATGGTGATTTGTTTTGTTTTCTATTTGTAATGATACAGTATAACCTGTTTTCTATTTGTAATGATACAGTATAACCTGTTTTCGTGTTTTGTTGAGTGTATTTGCTATTTTGAAGCTACATTGTAAATTGTTATTTGCAAGTTTAATTAAAAAATTAAAAACCCATTTCACTTTTTGGAAATTTTCAAAAACCGTTAAAAATCTCAAATCGACCACTAAAAAACAAATCAGGGCGAAGAGCGGGCGATACGATGTTCAAGTTCTAATGAAATTCATAATTACATACACCGAGGCAAAGTTGAATTTTTGCTTTACTTGCGACGCAAAAAAGCACAAATCTAGCCGATGTAAAATAAAATGGCAAGAGACTAATTTACAAGAAAAAACCCAAAAAAAATGTCGAAAAGCAACCAAAAATTTTTGGCCGTTTTCTCAGGTGCAGTTCATTTTGAATCAAAAGCACTACTGTTATTGCTGAATTAAATTTGAAACAAAATTTAAGAAGCGGTAACGAAGCAGACAAAAATGAAAAGTTTCTGCAATTAAAAATATTTTGAAAACCCAAGTTTTTAAGAGGCCTCCGACTCAAAACACAAACGCATAAAAACATATTTTGGCACTTCAAACAACTTTTTGTGATGTTAATGAAAACGAATAAAATATACGCCAAAACCATTTCGGCCAGACAAACCTAAAAGCGAAAAAAGGAATAAGAACAAAAAGGAACTTCTGCTAAATCCTAAATGGATAATTTACAGATTACAGGAAGAGATCAAATTGAGTTTCTATTATAATAAGAATCAAGGTTTCGGACCATTTTTTAGGCTTAAGGTTGCGCGAAACATCATTTCGCGTCCGGGTATTCATAGTCTGAACAAAGTTTTCTTAGAGAAAGTCTAGTTATCCATAAGTATCTCGATAGTACAGAAGTAAGTCGGGGTGGAAAATTCTCGCAAAAACTTGAGAACTAGTAGCAATCGTCTTACACTCAGTCGCTGTAGCGCCGCGATTGTATAAAAATTAATCGCGATAGTCCGGAATTAAGTCGCAATAGTCTTGCAATTAGTCTCGTTTGTCTCAAAAACAAGTCGCGAAAGTATGGTAAACAGATGCGAAAGTCACAATGGACTAAGAATTAGTCACTAAATTTTTTGCCTAGTCGTACTAATCCGACATAAACCTAGGCATCAATAGCCAATGTCTGAAAAAAAGTCGCGATAGTCGAGAAATGTGTCGCTCATCTGTGGTCAAAATAATAAAGGGTTCCACAGGATCTCAAACAAAAAGCGTCAAAGCAAAATCTCCGAAGAAAACAGCAGTTTTCGAGAACTGCGAACAGCAAAAAAAAAGAAGCTTCGAAATTAAACAATAAAAAAAACACTATTTTTTCAAAACCCATAAAATGTGAACCTGATACGCGTATCGGTTTAAGTAAAAAAACAAGTTTTTGGGAACTGAAAAGCCTAAATTTTCAATCTCTCAAAAAATTTTTCATCGGTCGTAAAAAACAGGCAGGTCTTCGAACCTCTTTAACTCCTGGACCTCAAAAAAATACAGGGTTTTATTGGTGCTTTGTGAGAAACAATGCACAAAAAAATCTGTGCAACACGCATAGCAAATATCAACTTTCGCCTAATATAAAATTTTTTGAAGGGGAAAACCTTGAAAACGTTCTACGCTCAGATAACACGTCAACATTTAAAGTCAAACAATGTGACGACTTGTAATCAAATTTTTAAATAAAGTCAAGAAAATTTTATTTTCAAGAAAAAGAAACCCATATCACAAAATTTTGCCCTTGTTATTTTGGTCGCTGATGGAGTTTTAGCCATTGTTTTTTTTTGGCTGAGGATTTTCTGCTCATTCATAAATTCATAATTTGGACTCAATTGCGCTGAACGTGAACAGCCTCTCGTTTGCTGCAAAAGCTTCGGACTCGTCTCCTCGGTCTGCACAATATAGAGAATCCACAACTCATTCTGATAGTCAAAAAAGTAAAAACCAGCTCCGACCATGGTACTACAATAAAAATTATTAGGTGCTCGAATAGTTCAAAACGTTAATTTTTGACATTTCTGTAGTCATATAAATTTTTATATTTTTCTCATATAAAGAGCGTAGATGTTACACTGCCATGCAAAAAGACTTCATTTTCAAGAAAAAAGCAGTCTCCTGAAAAAAAAATTAACACAAATTAGTCATCTCGTTGAAGGAATAGATCTAAATTAACACGTCTGGAACAGCATTATCTTGTCACAAAGATATACCATATGGCCATTATTATTTCACAAAGATTTCACATTTAACAGCTATCATTGATCACTTTCTACACATAGCAGGTGTTTGTGTGATTCTAGGTAAACACACCGAAGAGCAAAAACTGCAATTAACATTAATGCGAAAAGTAGAACTTCCACCTAGCAATTAACAGGAACGCTCAAACTTAAGAGCCATACAAATTGTAAAATACGCGATAAATCCAGAAACCCCCGTAGAACTGAATGAGAGAGACCGATATTGACTCCACCGATAATGAATTTACCAAAATACCAAACTTATTTGAAGAAAATGTTTTTTGATGTTTTAACGCTGCCATTTTCTTTTTCTTTTGAATTTTCCTATAACACCTTGCACCTTATCAGCTTTTTGAGTAATGTTGTTTCTAATTACTTATGCTCCAACTTTTGCAATGTTACTGCTCGCGTATTCTGCTCTTCCGTGGTCTTAGGCTTTTACATTTTGATTTGGTTCCCAATTTGATTTGGCTGTGAAACAGAATCAAAATTAAAGCCAAGAAAAACTTGCATCAACCTACATACACAAACAGAACACCCTCACCCCAAACACACAGGCAAAACTATCGAACCTCATCATTGTCAATTTTTCAAATAAATTTTTCCAGGCTCGAGAAAAGCCAGTTCAACTTTTCTGACAAGCAGACTCATATATGGTTGGTCGCGCGGGTAAACGAAAAAAGTTCTTGTTCAATATGCTATAATGTCTTTCATGAAAAGAAATGTTTAATTTGATAGCTATATTAAGGAAATATTTTCCCTTTTTGCTACCCCTAAAAACAATTTCATTTTGTAGCCATAAATGACAGCTCGCAAATAAATGACTGCGCTTTTTCCACTCCGGCGAATTTCTCGTTCACAGACGCGAAAGATGTCGTCACTTTAGTTTGAAAAGTGTAACTGCATAAAATTTGAGTTTGAGTTTTCTATAGAGATTCTTAATGGTTCCCGCTTTATTTAAGCTGTGATTTGACTACAGAGGAAATCTCAATCCGACTTCTGAGTTAGAAGTTTAGTATATTCAGGTTGCTTCTTGATATTTTCCACGGCTTCGTCAATTTTGGCAGTGCTACTTGTACAAGGTTTCATCACCTTTTTTAAAAATCATATTTACGTTACTCAATATAGGCTCGATATTGTGTGTCGTTTTTTTTCAGGTTTTCAATAGATTCTCGCAGTGAATCTTAACCTCGTAGATATTCGACAGCTTTATTTTTCTCTTTTTGCACGAGCTGAGATCGGGTTTCATGGGGCAGACACTCCAGCGTGTACTTTTCGCTTTACTCAGGAATGAAATTAGATGCTGCGGTTCCGACACGTTCGTTGTTGATCGGTGAGATAGTAGTTTGAGTCGTTAGAAGGATGAATCTTATCTTTAAAAAACATTGTTTAAGGCTATGACGCAGGATATGTGTTCATAAATCTCAACGCATTTATCATGAAATCCCTAAGCAATTAAAGCTACCCAGTTAAAATCCGGTTCTGCGATACATTGAACTTAAAATCTTTCAAAAAATTTATTTTTAAAATAAATAAAATAAAACAAATATAATAGAAGAAATCTTGTAATTTTCAAAAAAGCATTGTTCAAGATTACGAAAATGTGTATCGTCTGCAGCAAGGTTTTGTGTTCAAATGAGTGGTTCACAAAGTTGCAAGATAGCAAGATATGTGTTCAAAAAAGCATTATTCAAGACTATGAAAATGTGTATTGTACGCATCAAGGTTTTATGTTCAGATAAGTGGCTCAAAAAGTTGCAAGGTATGTGTTCACAAATCCCAACGCAATTATCCCAACGCAAGATACCTGTATTTAAATCCCAAAGCAAAATATGTTTTCATAAATTCCAACGCAGTTATCACAAAATCCCCAGGCAATTAAGGGCTACCCAGTTAAAATCCCGTTCTTTGATACATTGAGCTTGAATATATTCAAAAACATTATTTATAAAATAAAAAATAAATTCTCGCTTTACTCAGGAATGAAGTTAGATGTTGCGGCTTCCACTCGTTCAGCTGTTGATCGGTGGGATAGTAGTTCGAGTCGTTAGAAAGAAGAATTTTTTATTTTTTCAACAAAGAATTGTCCAATACTATGAAAATGTGAGTTGTATGCAGCAAGGTTTTATGTTTAGGTTACTGGCTCACAAAATTACAAGATAGCAAGATATGTGTTCATAAAACCCGACGCAATTATTCCAACACAAGATACAAGTTCATAATCCCCAACGAAGTCATCATAAAATTACTACGCAATCAAAGGCTACCCAGCTAAAATCCGGTTTCCTCTATCCATTGAACTTGAAATTATTCAAAAAGTTTATTTATAAAAAAAAACTTATATTTTAAAATCAATTTAATCAGTTAATTTGCATAATTATGCCAAACAAGGAAGCAACATGCAAAATGCGTCCTGACCAAACGAAATCATTGTTCAAAATTGCAGCACTAAATACCAAAAATATCAGCAGCACATACTTCTTGGGACAAATAAGCTTGTCTGAACTCAATTTTTATAAATATTTACTGAACTTGTCTGAACTCAATTTAGAATAAACATTTGAAATTCTCAAAATTTCGTTTAGTTTGTCGCGCCAAAAAGTTGCGCCTTCGCATTAAGTATCATAGATAAGTGCATAACTACGCGAAACATTGAGTCGAACGAATTGACACCATTCAAAACTCCCCAAAGTTTACGATAAATGATTGCCAAAAGTACATATTTTAATTATAGCTTAGGATGTCGATATCGTCAAAGGGTTGAAAAAAAGTTCTCTCGAAATTTATTTGGATAAAATTTGAACTAAAAAATGCCGTTCTTATGCACTAAACGATCCAAAATTAGTGAGTTTACATCTTGAACTGAAATTAATATGGTTGAAACCGATTAGCTGATATCAACATTTCAAGCATGTGAAAATGATGAGTTTTTTCTGCATAAAACTCCATTTCCAAAATGTCAACAAGTTTTATATTTCACATTTCTTGCTGCTCGAGTCATATTTCTACTCGATTTATTTAAACTATTCAACCTTGGTAGTCAATACAAAAGTTTTGCATATCGGAATAGTTTGACTTATATCTTTTTGGGTCTTTTAGTGCAAAAGAACCAAATGTGCAATATGGAAAAGGTGGACTGATGTTAAGCAAAACGCTTGCTTTTATAAAAAATCAAAAGTAAAAAAAATACATAATACAGACTTAAAAACTGAATCTGAGGGAGGAATGAGCACTTGGCTCGATAATATGAGAAAATATACTATCGGTACCAAAATTTGTACATTTAGATGTCGAGAAGTTTTTACCGAGGACAAAGCTGCGGTTCGCTTGTTTTCAATTTCAGTGCAAAACAGGCACAAAATTCTATCAAACAAAATTTAAATGGCTCAAATCTTGTTGATTTGAGGAACTTGCATATTTATATGACCTTGTATTTATCTGACAGCTTTTTTTACTCGTGTAATGGAAAAATATTTGGATCAAGTTAACATCCTCGCCCCCCCCCCTAATAGACCAAGTTAAGATCCTCCGCCCCAGCGCTTAAACTAAATTTGCTAAGCGCTGCATGTAAAATGCTCGATTCTGATTGGCTGAAAATTCCCAACTTAGAACCAAGTCAACATCCTCCCCCTAAACGTGTTTAGGGGGAGGATGTTAACTTGGTCCAAATATTTCTGATAATGGGCTCTACTCTACATCCTTTCTGAATAAAACACACTTTCTATTTCAGCTTCATAAAACGCTTTCGATAACTAAATTAAATCTTAGATACAAATGTTGTTTAAAAAGATGATTGCACGGTAAAGATATCTATGTACAAATTCAAATTGTTCTCATTTTTGCACCTTGAATCACATGACGCGAAAATTGGTGTTGATACTTTTCATATCATAGGTTCAAAAATTACTTTAAGTTTTCAGCCTTTTAACTCAGCTTTCTCTATTTGTAATAAAAATAAGAATTTAGACTATGAGAAACAAAATGAGGAAAAAAGTTCATAACTCAAATTAAAAAAAGATAATTTTCGCAGAAAAATCTTGTAAAACCAATGTTATACCGTAAGATTGATTTTTATGTCTATCAGAAAAAGGGAACGCTAAAAAGTCCCATTTATGAAGTAGATGTATTTGAACAGGGTTTTTAAGGAAGCTTTTTTTATCTCGCCCGGTTAGTTTTTCTAGCTTTTATGAACATTTGCTATCTTATAGTTTATTTCTATAAACACTTTCCCCATCCTTGATTCAAGCTGCTATATCAGTCTATTAAATACTATCCATTTATCAATTAAATCTATAAATGCGAGCAAATTAGGAATAGCAATCAAAAATGCTGATAATAATGGCGACGAGAGCAAAGTAGAGTAAGGTGAAATTATTTATGGTAATAGGTTGAAGCTGCAACAAATTACAATAGATCCGATAGTGATGCTGATCGGATCAATTAAATGTAGATAGAATTTAAATGAGAAGTTTTGTGAGAGTTCAATTTCCTCATTAGCATTAATTTAATCACGCATGGAGTCGTCAGTGTCGCAGATATCGATTGTGACATTTTGGTCATATGCCTGAAAAAATAATTTAATGTCATAGCCATTTTCATAGAATTACATTAGTAGTGGACAAATTTAAACGCGGACCAAGTTAACACCCTCCAACACACACACTATTAGCATTCAGATTAATTGTGACACACACCGCCCAAAATCTAATTTGAATTGAAACTGCTTAGCAATCCGAGAAAAAAAACTCCATTTGGATTGACTGAAAGTTCTAACTTCGTCCCATTTTAAATACCCGTCTTGAAAGATCTTTCCCGGCAAAACTTGATAGACCTTTCAAAAGACTCACCATTAAAATTTTCTTGCTTGGCTATTTCGGGCTATTTCATTACCAGTACGTCGTTTTTTGACAGACTGCTTCGGCTCATTGTTTAGATATTCGTTTTCGAAGTAAATCTGAGTTATTTCTGTGGCTACTGAAAAAACTTGCTTGATTTAAAATTTCAAAATTCACCTCAGATCTCTGAATCTCGTCGCTGCTTGCTGCTTGTCCGAAACTAGATTCAGGACTGCCGTTCACATCATCCGACTCCGTCCTTCCACTATCCGCGACGCCGTACCTCTGAGTAATTTCTGCTGCTTCCCTGTAACTTGGTACACCTGAAATGGCTGCATCTTCAACTGATGATTGCAAGGGTTCGTCTTGGACTTCGTATGGCGGGGGACTTCCCGATTGGGTCTCTTCGGGTATGTCGGGGGTGAAATTAGAAGTAGTTGTAGTTGATTGATTGGGGAGGGGAGGAGGGTCATTGCGATTGTCAACTAGACTGATTGCAGCGGTTGAGGTTTGAGCCAATGCTTCTTGGTAAGAAGGTAACACTGAAATCGTGAACATGAGCTTTACATAGACATTTCAGAGATCTTTTGATCGTAAAAATATTAAAGTATTCAACCATAGTTTTATCAAATGATTCGGCCACAGAACTTCTGAATAATGCCATAAACATGAACATGTACCTATTAGCATTCAGATTGATTGTGACAAGTCAATTATGAGACGTCTAAAAAGCTCTCTTGCTATCGACTTGTAGTTTTCTATTTAGCACAGATAGACTCGGATGCCTAAAAATGAGCGAATGAAGCAAAATATCCTTTCAAAACGAAAGAAAAATCTGACCATTCCACTCAAAGCAGCCTTAAGTTCCGTGCAAAAATAACTTAATACAAGTATCGGCATGCCATTATGAAACTTCTCGTTAAATTGCATTCAGAATATAGGAACTATATGCAAAACAAGACTGCTCGTATCAGGGCGAAGCCCTGAACGTTCCGACTGCCTATTAAGGTTTATGGAGCAGTAATAACATTAAAAAATTAAAAGTAATAAAAAAAATGAAACTTTTTTTTTCTAAAATTTGAAATTTTTTATGAAAATCATCCCCCCACACGCCATATAAAGTACAAAATGATAGATTTCACTACTTGTAACAAATCAATTATGGCAAATAAGCTTCGTTGAACCAATTTGGAACGATTTCTAGGACGGATTAATTTTCCGCTTACGCGTTAATAACGCGAAATATATCGCGCGTTAATTGTCCGAAATTGGCCAAAATGGCAATCTTTAAACCCTCATAACTTTACGAAAAATGATCACAGGTGAAATATCTTTTCAAATTTGAGCTCAGGACAACAATACCTTTCGAATGATTTAAAAAAGTTCCGTCAAAAATGGCTAGATAAAAAGTCGAAATTTGTCTGAAGAAAAAAAACCCACCCGAGCACAAATATTCCGTTACTTTACTTTATCGGAACAATAAATAAAACCCAATCATCCCAAAACTTCTACGCTAACTCTTATTCTCCATGTTTTAGCCGCCTTCTTTTATACGCCCGCTTTTATTTACTGACAATTTTTGGATTACGGCTACGCCTCAGCAATCAATCGGCACAAGATTAAGGCGAAAAACATAGCCAACAGACAGTTGGAAAAGAGAAATGAACGCAAGTATTCAGACTTTGATAAAAAAAATCTCAACTTTCGAATTTCAAAGAAAAAATATATGCCCTTTGAATTTCTAGAACAATTTATGGTGGTCGCTTTTTTGATAACATGAACACAACTTAAGAAAACTCGAGCAATAGGTAAAATTTTTATTCCGATGGAATTCGCTAAACATTTAATTTCACTTTCATATTTAGAAATCGTTCACGTTTCGTGAGCCATTTCCACGTTCATATTTGGAGAGTGCTATTTAAGTAACTTTCAGCAGATGAATTTCCATTAAATTCAAAAAGTGCACATATACCTAAGCGCTTTCATAAATGCATGATTATGTACGAATGCACATCTGAAGTTATTAGAGCATTTTAAGACTTAAACCTAAAAAAAATAACCACTACGTTCATTACGCAATTTTATTGAAGATTCGAAACAAGCCTTACTTGAGTCTATGTCAACGGACGCCGGCTGTATGATATTTGTACCATTCACCACTGCATTTGCGGAGCGATAGTTCTTCGCTAACTGAACTGCAGCAAAGTTCGGGTCGCTTCGCATCAGAACCCGAACACATGCTTCTATCGCTTCGTCTATTTCGCCTCCTTGGCCAATCGCGTCTATGTCTATGTTACTTTCCTGGCCGTCTTGGGAGCCATCAGGTCCGGTTCTAATCCCATAAAAACGACCTCTAGCCGCATTTGTGGGACAGCTGGTCGAGGATGGACTTCGGTTAAAAAGAAGCAGGCGAGAATTCGCGGCTCGGTTAGCCAAGGCAAAGTTTCCGCGAGGGGAAGAGGTAAACATTCCGGAGGCCCCGCGCCCGTTTCCTCCGAGTGTACGCGAGAGAACGGAGATACCCCCGTTTGTACGTCTCTAAAATACAAACAAAAAATCTCCATTTTCATCTTAGAGTCTCAAGGTCATAGCCATGCTTCAAAATTAACTCTTCTATGACAAACTTATCCAACTTAATCAAAAATACTGGACAAACTTGATTGTATTCCCCTTCCTTTTTATCAAACCCAAAAAAACACTCACCACAGTTCTGAAAGGTACACTTCTCGAGTACCATCTACACCCTGCATATCCGAATAATGTCAGCAGCAACAGCAGTAAACTGTATCTGAAGATGGAGGTTCTCACAGGTCCCATGCCATAGTCCGGGGGGTGTCCCATACCACCCATTTCCAGGTCCTCCGAGCTCGTCATGGAGGTGAGGAGGTCGTCCTTGTTGCGATGGTCGCCATAACTGATTGCCTTGCGACCTGCTGCCGCTTCGTCCGAGTAACAATCTGAACCCAAAAGAATAGCCTGAGGCTAAGCATGTAGCACATAAAATTCCGAACACTGTAAACTTTAGAAAAAAAACATTTGTTTTTCTCATTTTCCTTTATTTCTGCTTGGGATTGGAATCTTTTTGAAGCTTCTGTATGTTGACTAACAGGATTATAAACATATGAAAGAACTTAAGTTACTAATGCGTATAAAAAGAGAAAAACATTTAATCAACTCTTCGTTTCTTAATCGCCCGTAATTGGTAACTGTTTGAACTTTCAAAAGGAGGTTTAAATCATGACTGGAAATTTTAAAATGACAAATCATGACTCCATCTGACGTTAATGTTTAGCATCTCTCTTTGCGTTGAAAAACACCAGAATCTAAAGTTACTCCAACATTTACCCCTTAAAAACTTTCTAGGAAAACAGATTTAGAAATCGAATATATCTTACCTGGTAAGTTCTTTATGTAGACACATTTTTCCAGACTGTATGATTCACACTTGATAAATCTGAACAGAAAAACATAGCCAACAAACAAAAAGAGAAATGTCAATAAACTCAAGGAGACAAGGAGCAACTATTGACTTGCAAAAACTTTTGTTTCAAATGAGGTATATGGTCTTTTGCGCTCTTTGAATTTCAAAAATCATGCTTCTGACAGACACTTTTCAGATTAAATTAACAAAACTAAAACACCTGAATCAGTAGGCAACTCCGCGGGGAAGATTTTAGTTTTTTTAGGTTTTTTTCTCCGAGAGAAAATCAAAAACTTAAAGTCTACTTTTGAAACGAGAAGTGCCCTTCACGCTTTATCGCACAATAAATTTGAATTCGAAGAGGGGAAAATGTCTAACTTTAAGGAAAGGAAATGCATTTGAAATGAACTTAAAAAGGCATGTATACATACGTGCATTTATAAGTGCATTAATGTGAAAGAACTCAATTCTGTGCATAACTAGAGCTTTTTATGACTCGAAAAAATCAACACAACCTATATAAGATAAGTGCCCCTACTACCTTCGCTGACCTTTGATAAAAAACAAACTGTTTCCTATCACGTTCCTAATCAGTAGCAGATTATGGGAAGCGGACCGCAATCAGATGTAAACAAATCGTGCCAAGCTACCTTGCCCTTTTTAAAATCGTCTTCACTGACTTTACATCGCTCTCTGAGCTTCAACCTCAACCTTTACGATGTCCAAGAGGCCTGCACCAAAGATCTCCCAATCCTCTTGCTTCAAAACGCTTAAAGAATTTTTCACAAGTGGACCTAAGAAGTCACATACCTCATCCAGTTCCCCGAGCCTGGACCTTCAACGCTGAGACGCCCATATCTAGAACTTCAAGGCTATTAGAGCCATTGGCGCCTTTAGCCACTTAACAACATGCAATTTTTTTATCAACTTGTTCTATACCACAGCTTGCTTTTTGAGCAAACTCTGCAGTCTTCAACGTTCAGAGAAACAGGTGTCTACAAATTCAACTCACCGGAGAGACCGACAGAGACCATCATTTTTTTGCTCTCGTAGGCAACCCTACCCGACCTCCGCTGCAAACCTAACTTTTTGTATTTGTCGCCAAAAAACAGAAGGCAGAGATCACTTGGACCAAAACACAACCCTTCAACAAGGCTTTCAAGAAATTTGCGCCCTTGGTAAACTACCTTGGGAAACGGCCAATCCCAAGTTGTCGTGTACAAAATTGTATCAAACAACTTGTCTGATACAAAGTCCATCTTCGCTCACTGGAGATAGACCGTGACATCAACTTTGCTCTTCGAGACAACCCCATCTGATCTGCTCTGCAAACTTGGCTTTTCGAAGTTTTCACCAAGTAAAACAAGGCAAGAAGCCTTTCAAGAAATTTGCGCGCTTTTGAAATAAACACAAGAAACAACGATTCGTAAGTTGTCTGATACAAAATGAGCCGAGAATCAGCAAGTGTGGCTTTGGGACATATCCACAATGAAAGGAAAATAAACCCTCAGGATGTCAGACAGATTTCCGCCATAAATCGCAGACTGTTTTGTTTTTAATTTGCTTATATTTTCTATTGAGCTTTGAATTCAAGTTTACTAATGATTTCTTCGATATTCTGTTCACCGCTGGGAAAAACCATAGGTCCGCGCCTATTCTTGATTTAAATAAAAATTTAATTATTTATTCCTATTTTTAAAATTATCAAATATTGTGGCGTCCGCGAGATTAGTCAGCCATAGTTTATGTATAGTTTATGTTTGTTCCTGTAGCTATTCATCATATAACTACAACGAGAACAATTATTATTTTTTCTATCAAATCAAAAACAATGTTCTATCAAAGACTATGTCCTTTTCGTTCAGAAATCAAAAAGAAATTATTTGATCAATAACTCATTTTGATGCCTTACACCAATTTTTTATCACAAAACCAACTAAACATCTCAAATGCAGGATAAGAAACGTACTTGGAGGAATTTCGATATACTCGGTCGCTCTCGCATTTGGCAAGGACGAAGTAACGAGATTGGTCCTCGGTCCAGCGACTATTGTCTCCAGATGCACTATTGGAAGGAACAGGACAAAGTGGCATCTGGATCTCTGGAAAACGTTGCACTGGATCGCCCTCTAGAGACTCCAACATCACAAACTCGGACACTTCAGAGGCGTCTTCATGATGGCAGTAACTGAAACCAAAGAGACTCCAATTTATGCACTTTTTTCAGTTAACCAACCAAGGACTAACACACAAGTTACTGATCAAACTTATCCAAGCTAACTAGCAAAAGCTAAAAAAAGCCCCCTCCCTAAATCCCTCTACACCATCACTTGTTTTACAGCAATTTTTATTGGCCAATCAGATTCAATTCAAGCAACTCGATCATTTACTTATTGCATAAATTAACGTTCCTTGTAAATTAAAGGGGCGGTGTTTTCGTTTGGATATTTCATGGGGGTAATTTTCACTTGATCCGCTGATTTGGCACGCATATACTGCAATTGCAATTTCGATCCCAGCAAAAATTGCCTGCAAGCAATGTCGAGAAAGTTAGTCGTTAGCAAAAACTACCTGCAAGCTTTGGTGCGAAAGCAAGTCGATATGGAAAATATAAGTTTACTTCCAACAAAGAGAAGACGGTCCAGTCTTCTTTTGCTAGCGCAGTCCGGGGGGGGGGGGGGGGATTTAACCAAGAGGGCATGTTAAAGCTCTTAAATGTTACTACGCCGATTTTCCATATAAGATAGGAAACTGACTTGCAGCTGTTGCTGATCCTTCCGTATACCAAAGCTCTGCACTTCGTGGCTGGCACACTGTACACATAGTACACGAACGTTCCGACGAAGGGGGCGACGTCCTTCCAGCCGAATCTCACAACTGGCCCGCCACTCTCCTTGTCCTCAGTAGTCTCCAAATAGGAGACGAAGGTGTCCGAAAAGGACGAGGAAGTGGAGGAGGAGCTTCCCAGCCAAACAGCCCCCAAATCTACAACAACATCAAACATAGCCATTAGCCAGCTAATAAAGAATTAATACATTTTATTTGCTTTCTTAAATTGGCCCCTCTCATGATCCCCCCCCCCCAAGCCTAAAATTTTTTATTTAAATCAGGGGAGGATCTAGAATTTTCTCGAGGGAGGGGGGGGGCGGAATTTCAAAAAAAATTATCGACCTTTTTAAGAACGAACGAACGAACTGGAACGAACGAATTAATTAGAACGAACAAACTCATTTGGAACGAACGACTTTTGATTGAGTTTTCCACTTAGTTTGTTCTATGATCTATACACAACGTTGACCTTAAGCTTGATTACAATTAGTTTTTGCTACAACTTTTATCCAATTACACTGAAGTTATATTTCCTCCATTTGTTCATAATTGTTCAAACCTTGCGCGTTGCTGAAAACATTAAAAAGTAATACTCATATTCACTACTTACATAAAGTAAGGGCTACGGAAGGAATTGACATCATTTCACCATTCTTCTGAAAAAAAAAGAATTGGAATCTAAAATTTGTAATCTATTTTTCTAAACAGTTTTAACAGCGCACTTACAAGGCAAACTCAGAAAACTTAGATTTTGATCTGAAGAAACTTTTTTCACACGAACTCATTCCTCAAATGTGGCGAATAATCTCACCTTTGAAAATATTTTGAGCTCAATTACAAAAAAATTAATGTCTTAATAGGGATGTAAAATAAACAGCATTACAATTTTTCCGACAAAAACAGAGATGGAAACCGTAGAAAAAAATCGATTTTTTAAAATCAAAAATATTGATCAACCAAAAATGCTCCTATCTGCCTTGATTTCTTCTTGAATAATAACTCCTTTCAAGAAAATATGTCAAGGAGCAAGACAATTGAATAATAAATAAGCATCGATATAAATACACAAAGCTTATAGCGATAAGAGCCGACAATTCCTGAGCAGACATATAATAAACCGAAAAATTGTAGAAAAACTATAAACAAATTGAACCACAAAGAATTTTAAAAACTACTCAAGAATAAGCGTCTAAGCTGGTATATCAAAAACAAAAAAAAACTGATATACTGAAGTCGGAGTTGGTAAGTTAACAATCAACCATAAAAATTTCGAATAGAACGGGCATTTGAAATCATTAATTTCAGTCATCCTGTGAACACAGTTATTTACCGGAATAGTACCCGATTGCAATACCCTTGCTTATCGCAAAAAAAAGAATATTTTGGACCTTCAGATCATTCAATTTTAAGGAATTCTGCATCCCGGCCCAATTCTAAGTTTATTTCATTGTAAGTACATTGAAAACCGAGATGAAGCGGACGCTACCATGCGCAAATGTTTTGTTCAAAGCTCAAAAAATTAGAAAAGGTGAAAAATATTTGGAGTTCAGATCGCGTCATTAGTATGTCAGTTTCATGCTTTTAAAAATCTGCTCGATTTCATCGCTTAGTCTATTCTGCATTAAGCTATAGCTGGCAAAAAAATTCCTCTTTATCGTCGAACAAAGAAGCACAAATGATCTTAACGCCATTTTCATTTTCAATATTAAGTCATATTTTATCTTGTCTAAAAAAAATGAACCAGACAACCAAAAAGCAATCTCAAAATGAACTAGAAAAAACCTTATTATTTTTAATTTGACAAAATGCAAGAAGGAATAAAATAAATAACAAGGTTATCCTGACTTAAACAGCCAACAGACAAAGGTAAGTTTTAATGAAAAAAAAACTGATTTTCTTTAAAACTGAAAAGTTACATCACCTAACCACTCTTGGAATTCCACCAGAGAGACAATGCTTTGCACAGAAGCATAGCATGACAAACTAAAAGATCGAAAAGGCAGCAAACAATTTTTTTTATTAAAATTTATCTTCGAAAATTGGACTAGATTCTGTCTTAAATAAAAAAATCTATTCAACTAAAACCTGCTAAGGAATCAACTGAACTAATAAATAGAATCGAAATTAAAATTCAAAGCGGTAACAAGCCGACAAATCTTGAGCAGACACACGTTGAGCCGAAAAAAAATGATTTTCATAAAGAAACGTTTTTAAGTCTCCCCGCAACACATTTAGATAAAAAGCTTTTTTAAACTCAAAATGAGGTTGCTAAGAAGCCAATATAATGTAAGCCCCGAGCTTTTAGGTCGAATTGAATTAAAAAGGAAAACTGATATAACTGAAATCGGAGTTGAAAGCTCAAATAAATTGAAATAAACTGAAAGCTCCATATTCAAAATAACAGTCAATTTCAATGATCAAGGCACTCACAGATAATCACGAGAAAAAAGTCTAGTACCCAGTTGCAATACCTTTGCTTATCGCAAAAACTCTATTGATTTTCATAAAAACCTTCATTGTCAAGAAACAGACAGTAAAAGCAAACAGACAGCTTGCTAACAGACAGTATAGCAAGCAGACAGTTTGCTTGCTAGAATACAAACAGTCAATGAGCGCAAGGATTCAGAAAAAACTTCAACTTTTGATTGCAAAGTTAAAAACAATAGATAGCCTCAGAGCTCTTTGAAATTCAAGAACACTTCATTGACATTTTTTTTTATAATATCAACTCAATTTGAGAAAAATGGATCAAAATGTAAATTTTTTCATCAGCTGGAAAATCTGAAATATAAAACCCACTTTCGAAATTAGAAAACGATCGCGTTTTTCATGAACTTCACAATTTTACTGTTCAAAAATTCTGTTTGCTTTTCTTTCAACCAAAGAAACAAACTCAAATTTTTACCTAATCAAAGGTCAAACTGGAAAAAAAATAAAATTTTAGCGTTAACAAATCTAATTTTTCCTGAAAAAAAACAGCACGACCTATATAATAAGAGTCCTCACTACGTTCATTGACTCTTATAAAGAAGTTCTATTGCGAGCAAAGATATTCATATTATTAGAGAGTGTAGTTTGAATTCCATTTAGCAAAAAAAATAAGATAGACAGTTCAAAGTAAATCAAAATTCTAACTGCCGGAATAAAAACATTAACAATAGACAGTTGAAAAAGAGTCAATGAACGCAAGTTAACTGAAAAATGATGACTGGTTTTTTCGAAAACTTGTAAATTTTCAAAATTCCACGGAAAAAAAGATGGATTCAAAGGTTCGTGAAATTCTAGAACACTTTATAATACAATGTTTTGATAAAATTAGCCCAATTTGAGGAAACTGTATCAATAATTAAATTGTTATTTGCAGGGAAATCTGAAAAACAAATTCGAATTTCGAAACTAGAAGTCGATGACGTATTTCGTGCCCTTTACACTTTTATTGTTCATAGGGGAGTTTGCCTTCCTTTTAAAAGAGGAACCTAACTGAAATTAAAAAATAAACATTCAAACTATTAAATTTAAAAAAATAAATTTGTGCCAAAACATATTTTAAGACTTTTTCGGAAAAAATCATCACGACCTATATACTAGTGTAAATTACGTCCATCGACTTTTAAAAAAAAAACAAATAATAAAAGCCCTGAATGCTCCAAATGCACTTTGAAAATTCTCAACTTCATCAGCTTTTTGATTACAAAGATGAAAAACAGATGCCTTTTTCTTGAGAACCATTATCCTAATGATGAAATGACTATATTATGCAATATAGTCTGAAATTTAAGACATGCACTATACTCTAAATTACCACCTTTGTAACATATCACCGAAGGTTTGATAAATGAAATAAATTGTCGCGCCTACGTGATTCGAACCCCAGAAATCCATAGCGAAAGCCATATGTCTTCACAACTACGCCATAGACCCTACTTGTCCTCCAAATACAAGCCACCATACCAATAAGTGGATAAAACACAGGCTATTAAATTATCAAACAGAAGTAGAACATTAGACAGATACTGAATATGAACACTTTAATTGAGCACTAATTTATACAATTGTAGGAAAAAACGGAAATCGTAATATATCACAAGCGTTTGCTAGTGAAAAGACAAAACTGGAATTGATATGCGCGACTTACATTGACAAAAAAGTTAGTTTAATCACCAAAATGGTCCGAGGAAAAAGCTCTACCCAGGTGTGTCTCAGATATTACTTTCACATTTCGGAAAAATAAATCAATACATTATCTATCGCTGGATTTCACATGAAAAACTGCAATTTCTACATTAAATTTTGAATTTTAATTCATCTCTACCCAGGTGTGTCTCAGATATTACTTTCAAATTTCGGGAAAAAAAATCAATACATTATCTATCGCTTGATTTCACATGAAAAACTGCAATTTCTACATTAAATTTTGAATTTGAATTCATCGATTAAAAATGAACTGAACATAGCCAACTGACAGTTGGAAAAAAGTAATGAACGCAAGGAAACTGAAACAAAAACTGACTTGCTTTTTTTTCAAAAATCTTCAACTTTTGAATTTCGAAGAAAAAAATAGATGGCCTGAAAGTTCTTTGAATTTGTATAACAATTTATGATGGACACTTTTTTGTTAAAATTAACACAATTTGAGAAAACTGGATCAATACGTATAACTTTTATTTCACTGATAATTAATTTCCATTTTCGAAATTAAAAGTCGATCACGTTTTCCAAGGACTTTGCCTTACTTTTAACAATGAAAATGCTTCGAAATTAAAAAGAAATCATTACGTTCATTACTCTTAAAAAACGTTAATTTTGATTATTTGGCGTAGCTGCCAGAAGTTAAATTGCGTTTGATCACGATTGCTTTACACTCACAAACATTAAGAAAAATAGCTTTGACTTAGACAATTAATGGGCTCAAAAAATGGCAAGAAGTAAGAAAAAGGCCATGGAGGTAATAAGCAGATCAGCACACAGGTTCAGAATAAAAACAGCCAACAGAAAGTTGGACACAGAGGCGAAGCTGTGCTTTGCAAACACTTGCGAGAACACGACCAAAAAGCAGCTCTATCAAGTGACATAAGAAAAAGTAGAAATAAGCGTCGAATTTGCAAAAACTCGAGGCGTAGCAAAAACTCCAATTAGTAAGAATATGCGACCTAGCAAATTTGAGTCTCACGTACTAACCATTCAGCCACGAATGCTCAAAATCCCCAAAAACTAGCCACCAATAATGCTAGTGATATGCTAATAAATTGCCAATTCGATGCAGCAAATATTGTTGCTTTAAGTCGCCACAAAATTCGCAACATTATTTGTGACTCAGGTTGAAAAAAAAGAAAGTTCGTACAATAACACATTGTTTCGCAAGTGTAAATAGTGTCAATGAACAAGGAAACCAAAAAAATGTTTTACTTCAAAAAAACTGAATTTCCAGCAAAACGTGTATCGAGCAAAACTCTCTGAATTTTAATAATCTAGTGATTTTTTGATAAAACTAACAAATTTGAAGTGTTTTTTTAACTTCGCAGCGATTTGCCTTTTCGATATTGGAGAGCGTAAATTGCCTTCATTCAAATAAATGAATTTATGTTGAAGTTTGAAAACAAACCGAATTTCGAAGAATCTAAATTGATCTTGAACAAAACTTCATCGGAAAAAAAGA